CCCTTCTTTGCAACACACACTTACCCTAAACCCAAACTCAACCCTAATCCTAACCCTCACCCTAACACTAAAGTACATCCTCAACACAACCACACACTTCCACTAACCCTAAACGTATCCCTAACACTGATTCTAAACCTCAACCTAACCCTAATACTAACCCCAACACGAAGACTAACCCTAACCCTATCACACTTACCTGAATCATAAACTTATCCCTAACCCCAGCCCTAATCCTAACCCTCATCCTCATGTACACCCTCATTCAGAACCACACTCTTACCCAACCCTAAACTTAGCCCTAACCCAAAACCTAACCCTAACCCTAACACTAAACTTATACTGAACCTTAACCCTAATCCGAACCTGAACCCTCTTCCTCACCAACAGCATCACTGACAACCCCACACTTACCCTAACCCCAAAGTACCCTTAACACTAATCTTAACCCTAACCCTAACACTAACACAAACACTAAACCAAATTGTAACAATTGCCCTGAACCTAATCCTAACCATCATCCTTTCCTACACACTCATTCACAACCACACAATGACCCGAACACTAAATTTATCCTTAACCCTAACCCTAACCCAAACACTAAACCCAACCCTAATCATAACCGTGACACGAAACCTAACCCACATCCTCTCCCACACATTCATTCACAACCACACACACATACCCTAACCCTGGATTTATCCCAAACCCAATTGATAACCCCAACCCCAACCCTAGCTCTAAACCTCACCTACACCCTCATTCACAACCACACACCTACTCAAAACCAAAGCTAACAGTAACCAAAAGCCTGACACTAACCCTAAATCTAACCCTAACCTTCATCCTCACGCACACCCTGATTCACAGCCAAACACTTACTCTAACCTGCAACTTATCCCTAACCGTAACACAAAACTTTACCCATCCCTAACCCTAACACTAACACTAACCTTACCCTAACCCTAACCCTCACCCTTATCTATAGTCTCATTCACAACCAAACACTTAACCTAAACCCAAACTTATCCCTACCCCTAACCCGAACCCTATCCCTAACCCTAACTGTAAACCTAAACCTAACCCTAAGTTAAAAACTAACCCTAACCCTCATCCTCTCCTATCACAGAAGGTAGGTCTGCAGGTACAACAAGTAATTAGGAAGGCAAATGGAATTTTGTCCTTCATTGCTAAACGGATTGAAATAAAAAGCAGAGAGGTTATGTTGCAGCTGTACAAGGTGCTGGTGAGGCCACACCTGGAGTACTGTGTGCAGTTTTGGTCTCCTTACTTGAGAAAGGATGTACTGGCACTGGAGGGGGTGCAAAGGAGGTTCACTAGGTTGATTCCGGAGTTGAGGGGGTTGGCTTATGAGGAGAGACTGAGTAGATTGGGATTATATTCATTGGAATTCAGAAGATTGAGGGGGGATCTTATAGAAAGATATAAAATTATGAAGGGAATAGATAAGATAGAAGTAGAGAGGATGTTTCCACCAGCGGGTGAAGCTAGGACAAGAGGGCAAAGCCTCAAGATTAGAGGGAGCAGATTTAGGACTGAACTGAGAAGGAATTTCTTCACCCAGAGGGTTGTTAATCTATGGAATTCCTTGCCCAGTGAAGTAGTTGACGCTACTTCAGCAAACGCTTTTAAAAAAAGGTAGATTTTTTTTGAACAATAAAGGAATTAAGGGATACAGTGAGAACGCGGGTAAGTGGATCTGAGTCCATGAAAGGATCAGCCATGATCTTATTGAATGGCGGAGCAGGCTCGAAGGGCCAGACGGCCTACTCCTGCTCCTAGTTTTTGTGTTCTTGTGTTCTATACACTCAATCACAACCACTCATTAACCCGAACCCAAAGCTAACCTAAACATAACCCTGACACTGACACTAAACCTAACCGAACCCTAACACTCATCCTTACCTACTCATTCACAACCAATCACTTTCTTAACCCTAAACTTATCCCTATCCCTAACCCTAACTCTAACGTACATCCCGAACACAACCACACACTTTCACTAAACCAAATCGTATCCCTAACCCTAACGCTAAACCTCATCCTAACTCTAAAACTAACCCTGACACTGACCCTAAACTTTTCCCTAACCCTAAACCTAATCCTAACCTTCATTCTCACCTACACCCTCATTTAGAACTACACACATACCCTAACATGAAACTTATTCCTAACCCTAACCCAAAACTTTACCCATCCCTAACCCTCACCGTAACCATAACCCCAAACCTAATCCTAACCCTAACCATAATCCTAACCCTTACCGTGACCCTAACTCTCACCCTAATCCTAACCCTAACTCTAAATGTGACCCTAACCTATACCCTCATTCACAATCACAACACTTAGCCTAAACCAAAATGTATCCCTACCCCTAACCCGAATCCTATCCCTAAACCTAACCGTAACCCTAAACCTAATCCTATGCTAAAAACAAACCCCAACCCTAACCCTCATCCTCTCCTACACACTCAATCACAACCACTCACTAAACCTAATCCAATGCTAACCTAAACATAACCCTGACATTGATCCTAACCCTAACCTTTGTCCTCACCTACACCCTTATTTACAACCACACACTTACCCTAACCTGAAACTTATCCCTAACCCTAACCCAAAACTTTACCCATTCTTAACCCTAACCCTAAACTTAATCCTAACACTCATCCTTACCTACACCCTTATCCACAACCACACACTTATCCAAACCTTAAATTTATCACTAACTCTAACCCAAACACTAACCCTCATTCTCACCTACATCCTCATTCACAACCACACTCTTTCCCAACTTTAAATTTATCCCCAACACTAACTCTAAAATTATCCCTAACCATCACCCTAACCCTAACCTTAACACTCACCCTAATCCTTACATAAATCATCAACACAACCACACACTTCCAGTAACCCTCAATGCATCCCTAACCCTAACGCTGAACCTCATCATAACCCTAAACCTAACCCTAACCCTAAATCAATCCTAACGCTAAAATTATCCCTTACCCCAACCCAAATCATAAACCTAACCTCATCCACAACAATACTCTCATTCGGAACCACACACTTTCCCTAACCCTAAACTTATCCTTAACACTAACCCTAACCCACACACTTACCCTAACCATAAAAGTTATCCTAAACCGTCACACTAAACCTAACACTAACACTAATCCTAACTCTAACACTAAATGTAACCTTAACCCTAACCCTAATCCTAACCACATTTTCACCTAACCCCTCATTCACAACCACACACTTAACCTAACCCTAAACTTACCCTCAACCCTAAACCTAATCCTAATATTATCCCTAATCCGAAACCCAACCTTAATACTAACCGTAATCCTTAACTTATCCCTAACCCTAACCCTTATCCTCACCTACACCTTCATTCACAACCACTCACTTACCTTCACCCTAAACTTATCCATAACCCAAAATCGAAATCTGAAACATATCCCTAAACCTAACACTACCTCAAACCCTAACCGTGAACTTTTCCCTAATCCTAACCCTTATCCTCATGTACACCCTCATTCACAACCACACACTTACCCTAACCATAAAATGATCCTTAAACCCAACCCTAACCTTAAACCTAACCCTATCCCTTAACCTAATCCTAATCCTAACAGATACCCTAATCCAAATCCTAACTCTAACCCTAACCCTAACCCTGAACCCTAACCCTAAGAGATACGAAGGAGCCCCCCAGCCACAAACCCCTGTGACACTACACACAAACACGTAGGCAGGTTATCCAAGGAGAAGGATGGAAAAATGAAGAAGCCACTCCAGCAATTAAAACTTAAAACCTTAAAGACTCAGGACCCAGGACTTGACGGTTAGTAACCACAGGATAGGGAATTGTGGAATACTTGTATGTTGAGACTGTCTAATTTAGGCTGAGCAGAAATGAGTTAAAATAATAAATGACTAGGAGCACGAAGTAGGGAAACGTTAGCTTTATGAAACAGTACATGTTACTGTAACTGCAAACTGCCTTTCCCTAGCCCAAGAAGTCACGTAGGACAGACAGCAAAAAGCTAGAGCTCACAGCATCTGCACACTCTTATCTTCACTACATTCCACTTCAATTAATGTATGTCTGGTTGTCTAAGTAATGACATTGCCTTGCTAAAACAAAGTACAATCGCAGTTTGTTTTAACTTGTTTAATCAGAGCCTCCCTGGCCGTCCTGTGAGACTGTGTCTTGGAGCTCTCCCTGCTGTAATTGATTGCAAGCTTGAATAGAGAAGGGCTACTGCTGAAGCTACACTCTCACCCTCGTGGTGTATCTTTTAGAATTCAAAAAGACCCCCTACAGATTGGCACTGCAAGCAGGGTGCTCTGTCTGAGTCCACCAAGATGCGTCTATTATTGGGGTGAGTACGTTATTTTACCACCCTCTTAGGTTAGAATAGACATATCTCCAGTGTTGACTCTGTAAATCGCGGCACCCGACCGAAATTACTCAGCCGTGGGGAGACCTGGGCGGTACGAGAGTCTTGACTGCAGGGTAGTCCCCGGTTAATAAGCGCGCAGTGAGTCTACGAGGAGGTTGACGGCCTGACCCTTCATAGGCAGGGAAAGAGACCTGGGCTAACAGATCAGCATAGGTAGACGGACTTACCTAACAACAGGTCATGGCTAGTGGAGAAGAAGGATGGGGTCCTGAAGGATCCATCCTGCAAACAGTATATGATGCTAATAAGAAATTGATCATAAATATGACTAAGAATGGATGGAATGAGCACCAAACCACCAGCGAGCAAAAAACACGGTGGCTAAGGCAAAAGAAGGATAGAGCACAGTAGGGGCTAATAATTATAGCCGCATTATCCAAACAGGGAGTAAACAACTCCCAGAATGAAAAACAAATACTTTCTACAACTACAAAAAGAGGCCGAAAACACACCATAAAGCATATCTTTTAGCCCACCACCGCCCTACGTACCATCGGCCCCACCTACCTCTGACGGTGCGAAACCGTAGTCGTCTGGGTCATGGGAGCTAGTAGAGGACATTGATACTGAATTGATATTGATCCTGAACGGGCCAAATAGGTCTATGGACGCGGGGAGGGACCGAAAGGACCCCCTGTATGCCCAGTTAGAAAGCAGGAGGGAGGCCGAGGCGCACCCCACGTAACAACGTTACCCTTAACTCCCGGGGAAAAGCAACAATTATTAGACGCCCTACCCAAACCTACGAGTAACTCTAATACTGAATTTTGGGAAAACATGGACGAGTTAAGAGAAGCGCACGGATTGTTGCTGGATGACATCCAGGTATTAGTTAAAGCAAAACTGCCTAAGATCGCCTGGAAGAAGCTACCCGAGGGCATGCAAGGCCAGGACAGGACTGGATTACGGGGGAGGATGGTCGAACTGATGACCAAAAACCTGATTTTAAAAGCGGGGAAGGACGATCTGATTGGACTCACATCACCCTAATCGCCCAAAAAAACCCCTAGAGCCGTTTGAGGACTATGCGGAACGGAAATTTAGGGCATATGTAGAGTATGGAGATATACCTAACCCGACCTGAAACGATGCTATCTTTTTACAAATCCTGAAGGACAGCATTGGCAGTCACTTGGGGCAGGTAGTGGATTTAGGAATCCCAATAGGGAACAACCATGCCTATGTAGTCTCGTGGGCCATGAATGTGGAGCAGAATCGCAAGAACAGAACAGGGACACCCAAGAGAACAGCAAACACCCTGTACCCCTCCCTAGAGGAGGTGGCTGTGATGGCCGCTCAAGCTAACCGATCAGAAATAGAGTGTTTTATTTGTAGCGGTAAGGGACATTTTGCCAGAGAATGCCCTAACAAACGCCCATTACAACAGAGCAATAGCGGCCCAGCGCCATGTCACAACTGTGGGCGCAACGGGCACTCGAAACTACAATGTTGGGCAAAGGGGGGAGGCGCAGAAGGACAGGGATTAAAACAGCAGAAGAACAATAGGTGCAACAGATCCCCTACACCCATACCAAACCCGGTAGCAAGCCCATCCACCGGGGGCAGTGAACCAATAATCCAAATGACAGCAGAAGAGCTCCAGCGGCTGCTGAAGCTCAATTGACGGGTATCGGCCCTCAACAATGGTCCAGACGATCACCGACTGTACGTGACAGCACTGTTAGGGGGCTGGCAGTGTGATATGCTCATAGACACAGGTGCCTCAGTATCCGTGACCGACATACAAGGGTTCCCCTTGTCTGGTAAAACCACCAATATAGCTGGGGTTGTAAGTTCCGCTAGGACTCCAGAAGCTGACCCAATCCCCGTCCAGATTAAGGATATCATAATGATGCATAGATTTTGGTACAACGCAGGGGTGGGCGAGACAATCATGGGAATAGATTTACTGGAACAGTTGAGCAGTTATACAGTGCAGAGGACCCCAGCGCGTAACTATCAGCCGGAAATATAACCTAGGAAATAGACCCCGGGAAGCCCAGCGACTAGCCCTGTCTTATCCCCTTAAGATGATCAATGAAGCAGGTAATGAGTCAATCATTAAACGGGAATGGGACCCCTACAACCCTTTCCACACCTTAGCCAAATTATGCCCCCGCCTATGGGCCACCACCTAGACTGAATGTGGACTGATACTCATGAACCCCGTCTCGATTCCTGGACGAGTACATCCTCCTAAAAAAAACAATACCCCATCAGACCAGAGGCAAGAATGGCCGCCATTAAAATAGTGGAAGAATTAGCTGCACAATAGTGAAGCAAACCCAATCCATAACAAACTCACCGATTTGGCCCGTGAGAAAACCGGACGGGTCTTACTGGCTGACCATCGATTATACGAGCTTTAATAATTATGCCGATAAAATAACGCCTATTGTGGCAGATCCAAGTATTAGACTGAACGGAGTGGGGACTGATAAGATCATATACACAGTACTGGACATAGCAAACGGATTCTGGTCGATCCCAGTTTGGGACGAGGATCAATACAAATTCGCATTCACCGTAGGAGATACACAATATGCATGGACCCGACTCCCTCAGGGGTTCCATAATAGCCCTGCAATATTCCACGCGGTCATGGCAGGAATACTATGCCCTATAATACAGGGACTTGACACCAGCTGTGTTGTTTTGCAGCGTGTAGATGACATACTTATTGCATCAACAACTCCCCAAAACCACAGCAGCACGGTAATGAAAGTGTTAAAGACCCTAGAGGCAAGCGGCCTGAAAGTGAACCCAAAAAGAGCCCAATTAGGACAGAACAGGTCACTTATTTGCGACAGGTGTTGACAGAAGGGGAACGGAAAATTCCCGAGGACCGTAAAGCGGCAAGAAAGGACCTCAATCGCCCAGCCAAAGTGAAAGGGGTCCGACAGCTGCTCGGGCTCTTGAACTATTGTAGACAGTATATAGAAGACTATGCTAGTATAGTCCAACCGATCCAAGGCCTAGTTAAAGGGGGGAAAAGCAAGCACCGATAAGATAAACTGGACCAAAGACTGTGATGATGCCTTGAGCAAAGTAAAAGCCAGGCTCCCGCACTGGGACTGTCTAACCCCAGGAAGCCCTTTCACCTCTTTTGCCATGAGTACCGAGGACACCAGTCGGCAATCTTGTTACAAAAACACGGGGACAGATTGAGACCAATAGCATATTATTCGGCAAAAATGGACCCAGTAATGATGGGCCAACATGCCTGCCTCCGTAACGTACAATGCGCGGCGTGGGCAGTCCGAGTGTCGGAACCGCTGTGCTATGTCGGAAAGATCATTTTACACAGCCCACACAGTATTGTGCAGTTGCTCGAAACTAAGGGGCATAACGGATAGTCGAAGAGCAAAGTGGGAAGCTGCGTTACTGCCAGGAATAGACAAAGTAGAGGTAGTAAAGGACAGCCGGGAAAACCCCGTGGAATATCTGACTACAAGCCTAATTGAAGGTGGAAAGCATTGCTGCCAACACTTTATACTGGCCGACAGTCAGCAGGAATTAGCGAGGAACCATGAGAAGGAGAAACGTAGTCCAGTTGTATGTGGATGGATCAAGGAAATCTGTTGATGGCGAGTTCCACACCGCGTGGGCAGTCGTGGGGAGGGTTCATGAGTTAAGAGGAGTTAAGATTGATGGAATGTACTCTGCCCAAGTAGCTGAACTAATCACCCTTACCTGGGCATTAGAACTGAGTAAAGGGAAATGTGTAAATATATGTACCAACAGCCGTTCTGCCTTTGGTGTGGTCCATGACTACATGTATGCCTAGGATAGGAGGGGATACATTACATCTACCGGAAGTCCCATTGCCCATCAGGGACGTATAAAGCAGTTGGTAGATGCAGTAAAAAAGCCAAAAGAGGCAGCAGTAATCAAAATAAGAGTGCACCGTAAGATTATAACCCCTGAATAGGCCGGAAATGCGGCCGCAGATGTGCAAGCCAGAAAGATGCCAGAAAACCTGCAGATCAGAATCATGAAATTGGCCAAGACTACTACATCCCTCACAGACAATACATATAACATAGCCGACATACACCAGACCATGACTACAGCAGAACAACAGCAATGGACCCAATTAGGGGCACAACCCGGGTTGGGCGGGGTCGAGAGGATACCATACGAAGGGGAAAGTAAAGTTATAGCTTCCCACTGCATCCAAAACATATTGTTAGAAGTCCATCATGGAACTGCGCACAACAGCCGCAAGAAAATGTTGACCCAACTCCTAAAACACTGGTGGAGGCCAGGGATAGGAAGGGACACAGCTAAACACTGTCAATGGTGTATCCAATGTGCCCAAACAGAACCTGGAAAACCCTGTAAAATAAAAACAGCTGCGACCAAAGGGTCCCTGGGAAAAAGTGCAGATGGACTTTATAGGACCGTTACCTCAGAGCCAGGGGAAACTATACTGCCTGGTAATAATCGACCAATTCACAAGATGGGTAGAAGCCTACCCCACCCGGGACTGTACAGCCGAAACTGTAGCCCGCCTTTTAGCCACTGAAATAATACCCCGATGGGACGTCCCTCAGCAATTGGAGTCAGACCAGGGACCACATTTTACCGGGAAATGTATAAAAGAAGCTTGCAAAATGTTGGGGATCGCTCAGAGATTCAATATACCCTACCATTCCCAGAGCTCAGGATTAGTCGAAAGAACCAATCGAACCCTGAAACAAGCCCTTACTAAAGCCTGTGAGGGTAAGGGTAATAGATGGACAACGGTATTACCCACAATTCTGATGTCTATGAGGACATCAGCACACCGGGTGACCGGACTTACCCCCTTTTGAATTAATGACAGGACGAGCTATGAACCTGCCTCAAGATCTGATCACGGGAGGAGCAGAGCTAATGAATACTAAAAAACATCTGTGGAACTACATGACAGAATTATGCGAAAACCTAGACAATGCTATAGGGCAAGCTCGCATCCGACAGCAGGTTCATGACTGGGAACAAGACTCCCAGGACATGGCTACACCTCCCATTAAATCAGGAGACCGGGTCCTGGTAAAGATCATCCCTGCCAAAGGAGCATTAACCAAATGGTCAGGACGACGAGGTAATTATAACAGGGAGTATTGGGATCCTTGTAAATGAAGCTGGCATAGGGAGGTGGCGCCACCCTTCGCAACTGAAAATGTATTTTGGAAGCTAAATTATAACGAATGTGTGCTAACCACTGCTTGGGACAAGGCCTTGTATTCCCCCATATTGATTTTATATATTTTGCAGATGCTTGAGCACCCTGCTATGGATCACGGCCGCTGTTACTACAGTTGAAACTCGAGATCAAAGTGGTTGTGGGGAACACAACGGATTATTGCAGGAGTCTGAGACTCGTGATTTGTCGTTACCGGGGGATATATTACAGTAAAATGTGAAGGGGATCCTTCATGCGGCACGGAAGTCGACTTGAAAAATCAACACAGTGGGACTGGACTGACTGTACATTGCGGGTTTGGTAACGGCGCACTTATGTATAAACTTACTAACCAGACTGGTAGCAACCCGTGGATAGCAAAGGATAGTGG